TTTTAATTGATCCCTCAGTGTAGGTACACTAAATGCTGCAATACCATAGCTATATTTTACTCAGAGTTCCTTGATGAGTGTGTCCTGCAATTATCCTTGTGATATGCTTAGTAACAATTGCTAATACAGAGATTATACCTGTTCTTACAAGTCTGCCTTCACTAAGCCACCTTTATATTTTGCCCCATGGTGCCTATCCCTCTTATCTATTGCTGTGAAACAAACCACCAAATTAGTGGGCTAGGACAATAACAATTGTTTTGCTCACAAATATGAAATTTGGGTGGGGCTTGGCAGTGACAGCTCATCTCTGCTGCATGTGGGGAGGTCAACAGGGGAGGGCCCACTGGACCCGGACCATCCATTTCCAAGATGGCGCATACTCGCGGCTGCAGGTTGGTGCTGGCTGTCAGCTGGAAGCTCAGCCAGGCACCTCAATTCCTCTCCACATGGGCCTCTCTCCCTGGGGCTTCCTCACAGTATGATGGCTAGGCTCCCAGAGAGGCCGTGGAAGTTGCCAGTATCCTAGGCCTGTACCCAGAAACTGGTGTGGCATCACTGCCACCATGTTCTTTTGGTCAAAACGGTCCCAGAGGCCACCCTGATTCAAGGGGAGGGGACACAGTCCTCACATCTGGATAGGAGTTGTCGCAGGATTTTTGACCATCTTTAATTTACCACAGTGCCTCACGGTGGAGACTTCTGGGCACTTCTTTTCCTGATAGACTGACTTTTTGTTTATTTATTATTATTTTTTTAAATCAATCTTATTTATTTATTTATTTTTTGTGAGGAAGACCGGCTCCGAGCTAACATCTATTGCCAATCCTCCTCCTTTTATTCTCCAAAGCCCCAGTAGATAGTTGTATGTCATAGTTGCACATCCTTCTATTTGCTGAATGTGGGACGTGGCCTCAGCATGGCCGGAGAAGCGGTGCGTTGGTGCGCGCCTGGGATCCGAACCTGGGCTGCCAGCAGCGGAGCGCACGCACTTAACCGCTAAGCCACGGGGCTGGCCCAAGACTGACTTATTTAAAACTTAAACATGGCTGGTGCTAAGGGGCTCATCTCACACATTTTGGTAGTTGCTTTATTTCTAAAGTACAGCGACAGCTTATAACACACTGGGAACATTCTGAGATACTGAGTTGTCATTTTTTCTCCATTGGGGGGACTTGTCTGCATCTAATTACCTTATTATTTGGAATGACTTGAGAGACTGCTCTGAGATGGTAACATCTCAGAGAGAATGAAAAAGCAGGTGACAGACTTTGGAGAGATTTTGCAATTTGCATTAAGCGTGGGGCTTTCTCCAGAAGAACAGGCAAATCAGTCTTATGTATGCAGAACTGAGAAAGGAGCGAGACATTCTGTTGGTGCTTTCTTCCCTGCTTAAATACATCTGTTGCATGCTATTTTTTATTTCAGCGTTGATGGATTGGTCGTGTGATGTAATTGGATTAAATACTTGGGCTAAAGCATCTCGTATATTTGCCCATCAGCTTCACTTTGTAGCAGATTTACACTCCGTCTGCGATGCCAGATTGAATTAAATGCTTTTTTAAAGCCTGTAGTCTGACAAAAACCTTTCCCTAGTCAGCGTTTTTTAATTATATTTAAAAAATAAGCATCTGCAGTGAAATGAGGCAGCCCATGGATCCTTTTCTAGAGAAGAATCCAATTTGGCTTTTGGGGATGATGTTGTAATTGGTCAGAGAACTGAGGATCCTAACTGAGGCTGAAGGCTGGTGAGGGCTGATACTCCAGACCCTTGAGGTTTCCCCTTCCCATCTTGCGTCACCCCGCCCTGCCTGTATCACAGGATGTCTGGTTTGATGGAATGGATTAATACTCTTTTCAAGGTTACCTTTTGGATAATCAGCATTTCAACACTTCTCTGCCCTCCTGTGGGAACCATGCACTTTCCTAGGTTTGAGAATTGTTTGGTCTTTTAATTTCTTGTCACCCAGTGTTCACATGAAGGAAACACATAGGGACGGTGATGAGAAGATGGTTGCTTTAATGATTTAATATTTAGAGGATGGCTCGAAGGAGGTGGATTTTCGAAGCTCCACACCACTGACTTGTCTCGGACTCAGGTTCCCCGTCTGTAAAATGATTATAGCAATATCTACCTCTTAGGGTTGTGGTGAGAATTAAATTAATGTAGGTAAGCTATTTAGTTATCTATTGCTGTGTAACAAATAACCCCCCAAATTTAGCAGCTTAAAACAGCGAACATTGTCTCAAAGCTTCTGTGGATCAGGAGTCAGGGAGCTCTTAGCGGGGTGGTTCTGGCTCAGGGTCTCTCATGAGGCTGTGTTCGAGGCAGTGGTCAAGGCTGCATCATCTGAAGTCTGGACTGGGGCAGGATCTGCTTCCAGGCTCCCTCACACGGCTGTTGGCAGGTCTTCGTTCCTTACCACATGGGCCTCTCCCTACTGGATGTCCTTTCAACATGACAGGTGGCCTCTTCGAGTGAGGGACTCCAGAGAGGGAAAAAGCACGGTCTCTTAGTGGATGAATGCCATAGTCTTTTATAACCTAATCTTGAACATGACATCTTGCTTTTGCTGTACTTTATTTCCTAGAAGTGAATCACTAAGTCCAGCCCACACCCAACAGGAGGGGAATTAATCTCCACTTCTTTGGGGGAGAAGTATCAAAGAATTTGTGGACATATCTTTAAAACCACCACAGCACAGTCCTGGGCATGCAGTAGGCACTCAATAAATGATTTGAAGTTATGATTAGCTTAGCAGACAAATTCACCTCTTGGTGAGTCGATTTCCAGGCAGACTTTAGGTACACCCCCACGTTTATCAGGTAAAAGGAATTTGGGGCTCTACTATGGATTGGGGATGACACCTCCACAAGTGTCTTCCCAACTGGGGAGAAGGCATGATGCCGGGGGCACCACCTGGACCAAGGGGGCAGAGTTATCCTCTGGGAAGGCCTCCCAGCTCCACTCGCCCCCTAGCAATTTTAAATTCCAAAAACAGAGATGATTTTTAAAAAATAAATGTATTTATCTCACTATACAGTGTAACCACAAATTTGGACAAAAGAAGAAAAAGGAAAATTAAAAAAATGACCTCCACAAACTTAACGCAGCCACTGATGACATTTTGTGATATTTCCTTTCCATAGTTTTCCCTGCATATAGTTTTCTATTTTTATAGTTACAAGTTGCAACTTCAATTTCATATCCTGCTTTTCACTTTTTATTACACATGTATTCGTGTTACATGGTCTTTCACCACTTCGAGTTTTTGAGAACTGGGTAATATTCCATTGGGTGAATATACCATAGTTTACTTAACTATTCTTTGTTTTTCTCATTTATTTCAATCAGTTCTTTATATAACAATAAAGATATTTATTATTTATTTTTATGTGTATTGTATCCTACTGTTGCCCATGCTGTTTTGTCTTTTAATTTTTACCATTTTCTTTAAAATAGTCACATTAGTCACATTACTTAGGTACAGGCGAGATGGGTGTACCTGGAAATGTTAAACCTTTTCCTCTGGGGAATTACTGTTGCTTCTGAAATTGGAAAGTCTTTTCTTTTATTAAAATACCCCCTCTTCACCTCCAGTTTCTAGATGGCTTTGACAAATTCCTCTGGAATTAATTTTGAAGTATAGTATGAAATAGAGGTCTACAATGAGACTTATTTTCTTCTTCAAATTACTAACCAGTTGGTCCAACATTATTTATTGCATGGTCCTGCACAACCTCTTCCAATGGTTTGTGATTCCTTTTTAATTTTATTTATTTATTTATTTTTTCCCCCAAAGCCCCAGTAGATAGTTGTATGTCACAGCTGCACATCCTCCTAGTTGCTGTATGTGGGACGCGGCCTCAGCATGGCCGGAGAAGTGGTGCGTCGGTGCACACCCGGGATCCGAACCCGGGCCGCCAGCAGCGGAGCGCGAGCACTTAACCGCCAAGCCACGGGGCTGGCCCCTGTGATTCCTTTTTAAAATCATCTCCTTCTTACTTAGAATACGGTCTGCTTCTGCCTACTGTTTCACTGATTTGTCTATTTTGAGCCAGCAATGCTATAATATTAAAAAAAGGAGGAATTAGTGAAGTCAGGCCTTGGCTAGAAGAGGAACTTGGTCCAGCTGGAAATGAAGGGATGTGCTAACGGGATGTCCAGACTTGACCAAGAAGGAACTGAGACAGTGAAGTAGAAACCGTGAATTCATACGACACGGCAGGAGCACAGCAGGCATCCAGAGGTGGCACATGTAAAGCGACAGGCACTCGGGGCCAGGATTTAAAAAAGAGGCGGGGAGAGGGAACATTGCTAGGAGGACGGAAGGTCTAGATGGGACTCTAGCAAATGCATCAGCCATCTTCACAGGAAAAAAAGTAGTTTTCTGCTCGAAGCCAACTACTGATTTACAGGAAGAATAGCAGGGAAGACATCTCTAGTGAGCTGAGCAAGGCCGGGATCGCGTCTTGTTAGACACAAATAAGGCTGGCTGATATTTTGATGGAATGAACAATTTGGCAGATGACAGGAAAAGAAGCAGATGCCACATATTTAGGCGTCAGTAAAGTATTTGTTACAGCACCTTGAAGGGACAAGGGGCTCAGCCAGCCTTCAGGAATTGGATAGGCGAGACGTGTGTAACAGGATTTGATATTATGGGTACAGTCCTATTAAAAGATTTATTTTCAAAAAGGTTTTAGAAAAGGAAGGGTGAACTGACGGGTAAACCAATTATGGTTTACCTGTAATCTGTATGAAATATGGTGAACCTGACACCCTGGGACGGGGGAGAGTCCCTTAATTTAGAAGTTTCAGCCCTGTGCAAACTGTGCCAAGTATCGCCATGGGGTAAAGACCTCCTCCCCGACAGGCTAAGGCTGCTGGAGTTTCATTGTTGTAACTCTGCAAATGACTGGGGGGAGAGGCATCTGCAGACGGACAACAGGGCCAGGTGGTTAAGGGATTTTGGACCTAGCCAAGAGAGGAAGAGGATGTTCCCAGAAAAGGGCTGCGGATCCAGAAAACCTGTGTCCCTCGAATTCTGAGTGGATACGTGAAGGACGAGTAAGAGCCAGTGAGAAAGCAATCACCTACGGTCCTGGGCTTTGAAAAATCACCATGATTATTTTATGTACAAATGCTTTCCCATGGCTTACTCATAAATGGGACCACAATGCCTGATGGGAGAGTAGGAAGGGAGCAGATTCCTGGTAAGGATGGACAACAAAGAAGAGCCAGAACAGCTAAGGGAACCGGAAACTAAATGCATCATCGTTATCATACAAATGTCTCCTTGCACACGCTGAGCCGAGCCGGGCTCTGTGCAAGCAACGGGGTGAATCACCTGTGAAAGAATCCCCACTGAAAGACAGCACGGTGAGTTTACAAAACTTGATGGGGCAGGCCAGAGGCAAGGCGTTGTTCATGATGCCAGAGGGCAGGGGAGAGGATGGAAGAGGAAAACACAGAGGCTGAAGATAAGTCAGGGTGTGCAGTTTTGGGGAGAGCGGCTCTGAGTTCTGCTGCTCAGGGAGAAAACTGCTTAGATAAGATGGCTTTGTGGGGAGCTGTCCTATCTCTGCCCGATGACAGCCCACTGGGCCTATGACGATAAGCCAGGCTGGGCCCCTAGGTTCTGAAAACAGAGATGGGGGGCAGGGAGAGGCAGTGTGGTGAGGTCTAATAGGCTTTAGGGCTACCCAGACAGGGACTCCCAGCTGGGACCGTGGGAGTCACCCAACCTCTCTGAGCTGGTGTCTTCATCCGGGAGCAACAGCCCCACCAGCCCTCTATGGTTGAGGGTACTAGACCTTTTGTTCTAAAGTGCCTGCCCAAACCCTTATGAAGATGAGGATGGATTTCACCTGTGAAACACTCTACTGGTGGGTGGGATCAAGGCCCACCTGAAGAGCAGACCAGAAGGAAAAGGAACCACTGGGCACTTGATGGGGAGACAAGTGAGGCCAGCCTGGGGCTCAGTGACAGGTCACTGCAGACAAGCCTGGCTGTGGAAGGCAGCTCCCACCTGGCAGAGGATGCCCTTCTCTGGACCCACCTCCCCGGCACCCAGAGACCAAACAGGATGGGAGGAGATCACTGCATGGCCACCCTTCAGCCCTTACGTGCCCTCCCTGTGGCTTTGGTGTGGTCGTTGCGATGATCGGAGTGGTCTTTGGCAATCACACATCGGTGGGAGCACGGGGCTGTGGGGAAAGAGGAGGGCTGACTGTGGTCCTGGGTGGGAGAAGCCTGGCCATCAGAGCTCCTCCTTGTTGCTGTCGGGGGGCTGGACTGGAGGCTCTGGAGCCAGGGGGTGACCTGCTGGTTCATGGTCTCCAGGCCGCCGGCTGCTGTCCTCCTGGCGCTTGCCCACGGCAGCATAGTCCCGCAGAAGCCCGCTCTCCACTCCATGCTGTCGAAGATTCTCGGTGCCCACAAGCCCCTGCATTCTCAGGTACCCCTGCTGGCAAAAGGGCGGCTGCTTCTGGCGTGTTAGGGCGAACAGGAAACAGGACTCTACACAAAAGCAGAAGGAGATGAATGAGCCGGGCTGAGAGGTTTGGGGAGAGGTGCAGGAGTTGCTGCTGATGCCCCAGCGGCCTCCATCCCTTGAGCCTGGAAGCTGACTTTTCTAGGTATCTCACGTTTGACCCGAGTAGCCATGGATCTCATCCCTCCCCGAGGTTCCGCGAATAGGAGGCTGCCCTGACGGTTTGGAAGTACAAGGCTCCGAAACGAAATCAAACCACAGAAATGACTCAGCCCCCAGAGATCGAGGCCCAGCACGATGCTCTGCATGGAGCCAGCCCCAGGTAGGCGCTCAGCAGCTCAGGAACAGCCCTCAGCCTTCTCTCTGGAAGCCGGCCCAGGGCAGGGGGAGCAGAAACTCAGTGGTCAGCTCCATTTTGACCTCAGAGCTGCCTGCAAAGATTGATTCCCTCAACAATACCTGAGTTGCAAATACTGTGTGTAAGGCATTGTTCTAAGCCTGTGGGGGATTTCAAGATAAAACTGGAAAATCCTCACCTCTGCCACAGCAGAAAGTGGGTGCTGGGACAGATCTGATCAATCAGGAAGCAGTGTGGATACTTATTATGCAGAAATAGGAAGAAACAACAGTAAGAGCTAGAAATAGTTCCTCCTGGGGAGTGAGAACGGAAGTGGGGAAAACGTCTTCTAGCCAAATACTTATATAATTTTGATTTAAAAAACAGAGAAGATGAAACAGATGTGGGCTCAACCTTCTGAGGGATTTAGAGAGGATGGGAAGATGGAGTGAGTGTCAGAAAACCGTCTTGAGTCCTTTATATCAGGGAAAAACTGGGCATATTACAGAGGATGTCGTGACAGGCTGTAAGGTGCCGCACAGCATTATTTCCTACTCTATTTCTGACTCATTGCATGGAGCGCCCCTGGCAGAAGAGGCCATGACAATCCTCCGAGCAGGAAGACAGCAGATGCGGAGGGAGGACAGCAGAGGGGCAGTTAGGTGGCCTTTGGGCAAGCACCATCTCTGATGACATCACCCCTTCTGCAGGGGCCGGGGGGCAGAGAAGCCCAGCAGAATCTGGGGCCAGAACTAGCAGCTGCACATCAGCTAAGGGGGTGGAGGGAAAGCCCACTCTCTGCCAGCTGGCCCTTTGCCGGAAGGATTCTTCCCAGTTCAAGGCAGCAACACTCAGTGGCTTGTACTGTTGAGCAGTATCCAGGGAGCGGGAGCCAGGAGGCTAAAGGGCCTGTGACGATGCACTGGCGGGGGCCATAACTCAGGGTGGGAACATGCTCCCTAACAGGCACGGGCATCTTCGTGTACTCCTGAAACCTCCAGAAAGAGGCAGTGACTCTGCAGCTGAGGTCCCTAGACCTATAAGATGTAACTTCATGTGTAAGTGTATGGTCAAGGTTGAGAGTGTGCAGAATGCTAGTACTTCAAAGCTGCTTAGCTCTGCTCTATAAATTACCTCTGTTTGAGCAACTACATACAGGCTATTAATTTAAAGTATTGTTTTAAGCCGAGTCCTTAATATATACATTTTTTTTTGAAAGTGGACTGAGGATGTCACCTGGGGATGAAGCAAAGACACCTGCTCTCCGAGCTGCAGGCCAGGGACTGACTGTCTCTAACCTGATCTGATATGAATAGTGCCTAATAGACAACTGGTGCTCAAAAGATGTTTGCTGAACAGAGAAGAGTGGATGTCCTAGGCATTCAGGGGGTTAAAAGAAAACAGACAAAAATTTGGCTTGGTTCAATCAATTCTCCTTCTGGATCATTAGACTTCTCTCCCCAAGTCCCTCGTTGGGTTTGGCTGTCAGAGCTATCTTCCAGTTCACCAATTCTCTCTTCACCTCTGTCTAACGTGCTACAATATCTTTATGTTAAGTTTCTAATTAAAAATGTATTTTATCATTTCCAGAAGTTTTATTTGGATCTTTCTCAAAATTGCCCAGTCAATTATATTTTCAATATATGTATTTTAGACAGACTTTATGTCCTCTATCTGACCATTCTAATTCCCACAGTCTTTTTGGTTTGATCCCAGTCTGTTGTTTCTGCTGACATTCCCTCATGGAGGTTAGTGTCCTTACGTGTTAAGTGATTTTTGCTTGGGAGTTCATATTACTTGAAATTTTATCTGTGGGAATTCTTTGAGTCCTAGTTTTACAGTGTGCTTCTTCACAGAAGATTTGCATTTACTTCTGTGACTTTTTGCACCACCACGATAGTGTGAAGTTTGGCCCCAAACTCACATGAGTGAGGCCTAGTGGATGGAAATTCTCAGGGGAGATTTTCCCCCACTCTACCCAGAGCCAGAAAGCATGCATCTCCACCATCTCCCTCTTGGGAGTGTTTTTTGCTGCCTATTTTCCCCACTGAAGTCCAAGCTTATTTGCAGGTCTCTAAACAGATGTCCTACCTGCTCCAGCCTCACCTTCCCATCCCCAAGTGCCGGTCAGTTACCCAGGCTGTAGGCTACTGATGATCAGCAGATAGCCCTCATCCAGCAGTGGGTTTGTGCTTCTCTTCGTATTTGGCCTCTGGGGAGTTCCCTTATTTTCCTGCCAGTTCTTTAAAAAAGACACTTTATTCAGCGTTGTCTGGTGTGCTGTACTGGGAAGGGTTTCTGTGAATATCTAGCCTACCACATGGTAGGAAACAGAAGTCTTAGGTTTGGGTTTCTAGATGTGAGTCCAGGAAACTCTGCAGGGCATGGATCTAGCTGGCCTTTTTTCAACCTCTCTGTCCTTCTGGGTACTTAAGTTACCTGCATAGAAGCTTCGCAAATCGGTGTCTAAACAGTTCTCCAGGAAGCGCCTCAGAGGTAGAATGTGCCCCACTGGGGCGGTCCAGTCCGTCAAGAAATCTTCCACGATGTGGTGGATGGCTGTGGGCCGAGGCAGGGGCCAGTCTGCGGGGCGGAACCTCACCTCCTGCTCTGTGGAGAGGAGAGGGGAGCCGTGTCAGAGCCAATTGGTTCTCGCACATCCCAAATGCCTCCCTTACATCCCAAATGCCTCACTCGACTTGCCTGATACACCTCTGTGCTGGGCTGGGGTCAGCGTGTTCAACAGCCATCTCCAAATGTTTGGAAGGCTGGCATGAGGAGGAGGGACTAGACTAGACTAGACCCGTCCCTTGTGGTATCAGAGGGCAGAACTAAGACTAATCACTCGAACTTGGTATTTTTCTAAGACTCGTGGACTAAGGTCTATTGTGGCTGCTTCAAAACTGGTCTTTCTGTGAGGAGACTTCCTATATTGAAAGGGGTCTTAGAACCCATGTAGTTCAGCTTCCCACCTGGCGTGGGCTCCCTTTGTGGTGTCACCGTCAGATGGCCATCAAGCCATGGCTTGACCATCCCTGTACTGGGAAACTCGGCCCATCCCACTGTCGGGCAGCTTTCACTATTAGTTGCTCCTTAGATGGAATATAAACCTGCATTCCTGTCACTTCCTGTTGACAGTACCTCTGCCCTTTTCTAGATCATCCTCTCTCCAGTGACAGCCTTCAAGTTCTGAAGCAGGAGTCGTGCTCCCCAGGTGGTTCCTCTAGTGGTGGCTACTCTGTGCCAGGCACCGTGCTAGCATTCTGTATACATCACCTTTTATCCTCCTACAGTCCTACAAGGAAGGTACTGTGTCATCCCCATTTTACAGATGAGGAAGCTGAGGCAAGAGAGGTAATGGTCCAAGATCACTCAGGTCACACGGTGAGGAAAGGACAGGCTGGGAGCACCATCCAGCTTTTCTGTACTCTTTATTGCTACACTTCTGTGTTAACCACTTCCAGTTCCTTCTAATAGTCAGTCTCCAGGTCCTCCCTCCCCCCTCCGTGGTCAGCCTCCTTTGGAGACACTACAGCATTACAGTGTGCTTCTTACTAAGTGGTGCCTGGAGGAGATCATGACGCTCCATGTGTGGCCTGCCCAGGTCATGGTATGAGCCAGAGTCAGGGAATATCGTTTATCATTCTTGGACCTTCTGCCCCATTTGGTCTCTGGGCAGAGTCCCCCAGTGGTCTCCTCCATCAGCTGAGAGTGCTGTGTGAGGGCTTAACGGTGACAACGCGATAGACAGTGGGGTCCGAGGAGTGCCCACCTCAAGAAAGCCCAGGCTCGGGGGACAGCAGAGACCCAGCTCACCAGTGGGGAGGTGCCTGTAGTAGTAGATGACAGGATGGAGGAAGTTAGACCGCCAGGCGTCTTCCGTGTGCCCCACAGACCGGTCATAAAAGAAGACGTCCTTGTCGGGTCCAGAGAAATTTCTGCCGTACTCCATGTTGATGACGAAGAGCCCGTGCCTGGCGTTCCTCCCTGTGATCGTCTCCAGCTGGGCCAGCATCTGCATGGGGAACTCCTCCAGGTACTCAAATGCTGCGGCGTTCCTGGGGATAACGGCAACATGGCAGGTGGGGGGATGCAAGATCCTCAGTGCTGCAGCAGAGGTGAGAGGTGAGTGCCTGTGTGTGTGCACGTGTCGCTCCTTCCAAGAAGTGACAATCAAACAGCGTACAGACTCTGAGCAGCCCCACACATCTCGCTTTAATATTACTGTTGCAGCTGAGGCCTGACTTACATGTGGGATAGCTTCCAGAACACTTTGAGTCATCTGAAATGGATATCTGGGGAAAGGGTGAGCAGGCTGAGAGAACATAATGGAAAAGCCCCAGGAGAGGAGAACGCCTTGGTGTCCTGCAGTGTGGCTGGAGGGGAGCCGAGGGGGAGGGGCAGGAGGGGGTCGGAGGTCCTCGGGGGCAGGTCCAGGGGAGCTTGTGTGTGCCATGATGGGAACTTGGGTTCCTCTGGACTGAGAAGGGAAGCACCAGCCCCTGGGGAGTACTGAGTAGAGATGACGTCGTGTGACTCAAGTTTTAAAAGGACCACTCCTGCCGTGTTGAGAGCAGACCATGGGGGAAAGGTGGCAGGCTGCTGTACCAGTGCAGGGAGAGACGCTGGGAGTCCGGACCAAGGCCAGCGGTGGAGCTGGTGAAAGGTGGACAGATTCCAGACATAATTTGAGGGTAGAGCTGATGGGATTTAGGGATAGTCTGAATGTGGCGAATGCGTGTGAAAGAGCCAGGAGGCAAGGACGACTGGGAGGGTCTGTGCTGAGCACCACTGAATCTCCTGCATGTCCTGAACTGCGTGTGCTGCTGCATGCCGTGGCTTGGATCAGGCTGTTCCCTCCAACTGAGGGTTCTTTCCCTGCTTCTTACCGGCCACCTGTGCTTTGAGGCCCTCCCCCTCCAGCCCCCACTCCCCTGCACCGGTTCCTTCTCTGGACGTGTCCTCTGTGATCTGCCGCTTATCACTTTTATCACTTGACTGATAAGGAGCCAGCATGGTCCTGGCCCGAGGGCCCTCTTCCACCCACACTGGTGGTACCCCCTCCTGCGGTTTACTGCTCATCTACGTGGTGCCAAGTGCTTTCCTCCAGTTACCTTCACTCTTTCCTACAGTCCTGCCAGGTAGGTGTTTTTATCCCCATTATGCACGAGAGAAAGGCTCAGAGAGGCTAACTGACTGACCCGCCCCAGGTCACACAGGTAGAAAGTGCCAAAGCTGACATCCACACCTCGGTCTGTCTGTCTGTCTGCAGAGCTTGTCGTGTTGATTCCACTGACTTTTCCCCAGAGTAGATCCCCCCGCCCGCTGCGGGCTCCACTTTAGGAAGGAACCACTGGGCTATCCCACACCCGGAATAGGAAGAGAAGAGCTCGGGCAGTGAGTTGTGAGGCTGGGCAGAGGGGAGAGTGGGGGGTGGGCTACTCACTCCTTCAACAGGACGACATCGGCCAGCACACTGAACATCTGGTAAAGCCCGGAAGCCTCGTTCACGCGCCGGACGATAGAGCTGGTCAGCTGTGTGATGGGGTGCTCGGTGGCGGGCCAGGTGATGCCGTGGTGACGATGCTCCAGGAGCCGGTGAACAGCACGCACTGAAATGGCCAGAGGGAGGAACGGCGTGCTGCACTTTAGATTTTATCTTTCATCACCAGGAAGGACGTGCAGTCCTCATCAACTTCTCTGAACTCAATATGCACTTGTATGTGTGGCTCCAAGATGTCTTTAGAGCAGGGTCAGCATTTTTTTTTTTTTTTTTGGTGAGGAAGATTGGCCCTGAGCTAACATCTGTTGCCAATCTTCCTCTTTTTGCTTGAGGAAGATTGTCGCTGAGCTAACATCCATGCCAATCTTCCTCTGTTTTGTATGTGGGATGCCGCCATAGCATGGCTTGATGAGCGGTGCCTAGGTCCACGCCCAGGATCCGAACCTGTGAACCCTGGGCCACCAAAGTGGAGCGCGCAAGCTTAACTACTACGCCACCAGGCTGGCACCAGCAAATATTTTTTTTAAAGGTCCAGATGGGAAGTATTTTTGGCTTGGCAGACCATACAGTCTCTGTCGCACTACTCAGTTCTGCCTCTAGGTGTGAAAGCTGTCATGATGATTGCTAAATGATTGGGTGTGGCTGGATTTGGTCCCCAGGCCAGTCTGCCCACCCCTGCTTTGGGCCATCTGCATAGGGAAGTCCCACTACTATCACCCCACATGTGGTATGTCAAAACCAGACACAGAGCCTCCCTCTGAAACCCCTCCCCGTCTCACAGTCCCGATTTCTGTCAGAGACTCCCATATGGGAAACCTTTGACTGCTTCCTCTCCTTCACAGCCTAAATCCAATCTGCCACTAAGCTCTATTTTGAGATGCTTTGTGTATTTATGTAAGGACAGAAACACAACAGCTATCTAAAACAACAGGGAAACATTTTTCTGTATACCTGGGGCTGCTGGATACAGATGTGGAATTGGGGCACCACACACAGATGCCTGCTCTTCCAAAATGAATCAACAAAACACCCAAGTCCAATACAGGCAAGGACACAGACAATTCACATGGCAGGAGACTCAGGTGGCCAACAGTCACAGGAAAAGGTGCAGCCTCACAAGACATCTGGCTCTCAGAGGAAACAAGGGTTAAGGTGACTTTTGCAAAAGGCTGAGGAATTACACAGCGAGAGAAGTTTGGGGAAGGTGCCCCGACAAAGGGAGCACATACTCGAAGAAATAAAATCTTGAGAGAGCCTGGCATGTTTTGAAAAACAGGTGAGGGACAAGGCTGGAAAGGTGAGCTGGTGGCGGCCTGTGCACAGCTCTGAATGCCGTGCCCAGGAGCTGGAACTCTCCCTGGAGACATGGAGAGCCACTGAAGATCTAGAAGCAGAGGAAGGGTAAGATTTTGTTTAAAGAAAGGTTGCTTTGGCAGGCACCATGGCAGCTGGATGGGAAGCCAGGGAGACTGGAGGCAGGAAGACAAGTTAGGAAAGCGAGGCAGGGACGGCTGGAGAGAGATGCAGAGGAGGATGGACAGGGCTTCCTGCATGTCCTAACTTCCATGCGGTTACGGCCTGTGCTGCCCATCTTTGCTCTCCTGTTCCTTTACTCTGCCTTACTGTTTTCTCGTCTCCCTTGGGACCTGTGTCTCAGCTAAGTGATGAGAACGGTCTAGGCAGGATGGACTGTGTACCTCTCCCCTGTAGGGTCCTCAGCTACTCAGTGACCACAGCAATTGGTGGCCTGTATACCCAGGATTGTTTCTGGTTTGCCTGAAGCTCAGTGGTTAACTGTGAGCACTAGTCAGACAGGTGTGGATTCAAATTCCCCCCCTGCCATCCACTGGCTGGGTGACTTTGGGCAAGTTACTTAATTCTCTGTGCCCCAGTCTCCTTATCTGGAACACAGAATTGAACTAATGAGATGTGTCTCATGGGGCTGTGTGAGGATTAAGTATGTTAGCTGGGAAAGATCAGAGGATAGAAGGAATCAAGGGAGATGGGGCAGTATCTGCCAGGAGGTGGGGTGCAGGGAGGGTCACATGCAGGGAGTGATGATGAGGGTTGCTCGTGGGGGGACACAGCTGAAGAGACAGACTCGTCTCATTCCATGCGTGTGTGTGTATGCGTGTATCCTATTTGCAAATACTTTGGTTTACAGACAGTTAACACTCTCTCCCTGAGTTCCTTCCCTGACAACACGCATGGGGTATAAAATATATCATCTGGAAATGAACAGCAAAATATGATTCTCTTCCCCTGTCAAACTGGAAGGATAGTGAAATGCAAAAACTAGTGTTAAAGCAACATGAGGTATCAAATTAAATACAGAAATGTGAGGATGCAGGATGCAGGACCCTTATGGTGTTTATGGCAAAACTGATTGGCCCATGTAACACCTGCTATGCAGTCAAGCACCCATCCGACACCTAATGAGCTACCCAGAGTCCAGAAAGTTTATACCCACAGTACCCAGAGTTTTGAAAAAGAACTGATATAATCCAATTGCAATTTTTATTGAAATTTGTTGGTATCCAAAGAGTCTGTGTGTGTGTGTGATGATTCCAAGCTGCATGGTCCCCGGGTATTGTTTTCTTTAGTTCTCACCACGGCCCCCCGAGGGCGGAGAGTTCACTTCGTTTATATCTCTGATGTCAGCGATGGCCAACAGAGGCTTAGAGACGTTATGAAGCCTCACCTCTGAGACCGCGCCACTGGGGAGGCCTCAGGTTAGCAGTGATCAAGCTCCATGTTCTTGCCAATGCATCCTGCTTCAGCACACAGGGCTTACGCACATAACATGCCTCCCCAGATGTACGTCCTCTTACACTTTACCTGCTACTTTTCTAGATACATCCTCAGACCATGAAACCTGTTGCCATCTGCCCCAGACAAGGAATTTATGACAATCGATTACTGATAAGCAATCCCTTTAATGCTGCTGGAAGTCAGGAGTGTGTTTATAGACTCTGGGTGGTGGCTCTGTCTGGAACAGCGGCCCTCTCGGCCCGGCTCACCTGTGTACCGGAATCCATGGATGAAGCCCCCTGCAGATTTGCGGTAATCCACGGAGTGGCTGGCAGTGCCCAGGACAAAGAGGCCCCGGCTTCCTTTGGACTCATAGCTGGCTCTGACCAGTGGGTACTTCTTGCTGAACTCACCCCCCGAAGAGAGTCTGAGAGACCTGTGAGTGGAAAGGGTTGTTAGTAAAATCGCTGCCGTGTATGAAACACTGATTCCAGGCCTGTCACTGGGCTAAGCGCCTTATGGTCCTTATGGCATTGAAACCACACCACGACCCCAGGGGGCGGGGGTAATCATCTCCATTTAACAGATGGAGGAACTGAGGCTCAGGTTAAAGATGCAGTGGGCCAGGGACAGAGCCAGGGTTCAAGCCTGACATGGGGCTGGGCTCTGGGCTAAGACCGGGCCCTGTGGGACCCGATGGGAAAGGAGGGGCTGGGACAGGCCTCCAGCTTCTCCTTGTCTGCCTGTGCCTTGGACAGAAGAAAAGTGAGAGACTGGACGGATTCTTTGAGACTAAGCCTTGCCAAGGTACTGGGGCAGCAAGGTCTAAAGACGAGGATCCCCAAAGCAGTTCTCAAAATACAATTGTAAATAATTTTAGCAGCTAACGTTTTATTGAGCATATAGTATCTGCCAGGCACTTTCCTATATTAGTCTTCACAACAGCCCTATGAGAAAGAAACTATGATCCCCATTTTAGCGAGGAAGAAATGGGCACAGTGTGGTTAAGTCACTTTCCCAGAGCTCACAGGTTTGGTACGTAGAGGATCTCAAACTGACCCTAGAGCCCATGTTCTTAGCTACTATGCTATACTGCCTTGCAGAAAATTCACATTTTTATCCCTTCTGAGCTTCCTTTCCCATGTGTGGTGGAGGAACACAACACAGATGAAGACCCGCTGCTGTCACTGTTTGAGGACGGAGGGCCACAGGGCCACTTGGAACCCCCAGTGGACAGAGCGCTTGTGTCCTGGGCGGGAGACCAGGCAGCACCCACATGTGTTCTGAGGCTGCATTCCTGAAAGCCCTGGCGCTGGCCCTGCTGGACAGCGACTCTGTTCCCACGGGGAGGCGTCAGATGGGGTTTGCTAAGAGATCCCAGCTCCTTCCCCATCTGGACTTACTTGTTGAAAATGGAGAAGTCGAAGTTCCAGCCCAGGCAGCGGATGACCCGGTCGTAGGCCTCGCGCATGGCAAAGTTGTCATTGTCGTCCTGGGGGAGGGTGATGGCGTCGGCACTCTGGTTGGCTTCCTCCAGGAAGAACTTCAGGGTGACGTGGAACCTGCCTTCACGGTCCTTCACGATGGCCAGATTTGTCAGGTCAGACTCGAGCAACCCGTCCAGGGACTTCAGCTGGTAGGTGTCCAGCAGGCCATTGTTGATGGCCCTGGGGCCCAAGGAAATGCCAGGGGAGAGAAAGGAGTCTGTACAGGGTACAAGGAGACTCAGACGTAGGGGTGGTTGGTCCAGTGGGGGTCAGGAAAGGCTTTAGAGGAAGCTGGCAGTACAGAATACACAAGCAGCTGAGCGGCATACCTTAGGTCTCCAACGTAGTGGGTGGCCCAGGAGAGCCGGACCCGGGAGCGGCTCAGCATGTGGATAAAGTTGGTGACACCCAAGATGTTCTCTGCCGTCTCAAAGGCTGAGTTCCCACGGCCCAGGATCAGCACATTCTGACCCACAAAGTCCTTGGGGTCCACGGACACAGACTCGTAACCCTCCGCATATTCGGAGCCAGGGAAGTCGACCTGGTTGGGGACTGACAAACCGGTGGCTACAAGAAGGACGCTGCAGGTGGGGGACAGAGGAGGACTGGCTTAGTCTGTTAGCTATAAGACCACCGAGGAAAAATCACTCTCTGGACTTGCCTGCCTGGCTTGTCTGCCTCACCCAGACTGCTGGCTCCTAAAAGAAAACAGGACCTTCCTTCCTTCATTCATCCGTTTCCTGACCTACCCCAGTGTCTCTGAGACCTGACCTTTGCCCCTCACTGAACTCACTCCCGTGGATACAGTTTCCTTTTCGCCTTCCTGGCATTATACCAAACATGAGAATGAATTTTACTCTCTGACTGAGGAGAGGGGAGCACCATGAGAAATGGAATAATTCACCTAATTTTGAACACAGCAGTCAGACCAAGTGTCACCCTCCGTGATGAAAACGAAACTTGGCATTCTGCTTCCTCTCTCTGACCAGCCCGGCATGTGCAGCATCTGCTGAGCAGTAATGCTGTACCAGAGCCCGTACTAAGTGGTGTACGCATCATCCTGCTGCTCAGAGCAACGCTGAGCTGGTGATATTTGGCCTGCTTTCCAGGAGAGGAGACAGGCCCCGCGGGCCCACAGCCTCCGAAGCTCTAGGACGGCAGAGCCGGAATCTGACCACAGACCAGCCTGATTCTCAAATCCTGCTCCTCATATTGATGGGCATTCCAGCCCTGCGGCGGGCAGCCGGGGAGTGGGGTCCTGCGGCCTGCAGAAGGATGGTTTGATCACAGGGTGGTTTCAAAACCAGAACTGGACAGCCTGGAGAAGGGGCGGGTGCAGCCCCTATGGCTCCTTGTTTTCTGACCTTTGCCCACTCTGCTCACATCTGACTCCCCTGCAATGTAGCAGTGCTGCCTAAAATGTGAGGGTCCAAACCGCACAACCCTTCTCTCCCTGGGCTCCAGCAAGCAAGGAGCGAGACCCGGCCTCTGGCAAAAGGCAGGAGAAGATGAAGCTGCTTGAGCAGCCGGCTGGAGCCGGGGGCTAGGCCCACAGCCAGGAAGGGAGAGGTGGTCTGGTGCAGGGGAAACAACGCAGGCTTTGCGGTCAGGAAGATATGAGCTCAGACTGCACCTGTACCACTTACAGCACCGGTTACTCAACTTCTCTGGGTCTCAATTCTTCATCTGTGAAATGGGGATCAGCGAACCTCCCCCACAGTGTCCTTGTGAGGATTAAACGAGTGCAGTATAGCGTGTGACTCCGAGTTTGGGTTGTCTGCAGGATATTAAGCTTTCTCCCAAGCTAAAACTGAACGCTGTTGGCACTGCCTGCTGGGCCTCCACTCTTGTTTAGTTCTGAAATCCCGCTGAGCCTGTCTAACACTTGCTGGACATCTGATCCAGCATTTCCCAGAAAGTATTTTAGGGAACACTAGTTCCAGGAGATGCTCTATGAAAAGGGTTTTGTGGGCACATAAGCTTAGACAATGCTGAATACCCCAGGGTGGAGTCACAGTGAATCTGCAGATATTAAGACTGACAAATTCTGGAGGAAAGAATTGATTAGTATTTTCTGGACATATTAGATCACAAATGTTTTTAGGACATATTTGGGAGATGATGGCTCAGCTGAACCTCTTACCAGTGAATTTCAGTGGGAGCAAGGAGTGGCAGAAATGCCTCTATTCTCCCATTCCTCCCACACAGACGGCCAACGAAGGGGTGTCAGTTCCTCTCTGGGACCTGGTTCCTTACCTGCACTGGTACGCCAGGTCCTTCTGGTCGGTCAGGATGAAGTAATGGCCATTCCAGGCCTGCCGGTCCTTGAGCAGAGTGACGTGGGCAATGGTCGTGTTGTACAGCACGTGGAGCTGCAGCCTGTCGGCGAAGTCGCGCAGGTAGCGCACCATGTCGCCGGCATCGGGGAAGTAGGCGTGGGAGTAGTGTCTGAAGAGCAGCCGGGGGTCGTGGCTGAGCAGTGAGTTCCAGTCGTGGCGGAGGTTGAACTCAGCGTTGACCTTGCCCGTGTACCGCTTGTTGATGCTGATGAGCTTGCGGTGCCGGGGGTAGCGCGTGAAGAAGCTGCCGGGCCCCGGGGCGCGTTCGAACACCACGTAGTCCCTCCCGGCCCGCTGCAGGAAGTAGGCCATCTGCAGGCCCGCGGGCCCGGCGCCCAGGACGCAGTAGTCCCGGTGCGGGGGTGCTGAGGCCTTGGCGGGGCGCAAGGAGAGAGCCGGGTGCAGGGCGATGGTCAGGAGCAGCCCCGGGGGGCCCCACAGCGGGGCCGCGGCAGAGAGGCCCATCCTGCGGCAGACCAGAGGGGTGAGGCCTTGGACCACAGAGGATCCCCTCGAGGCCCGGGGAGATGCGTGAGGAATGGGGCCCAGAAAGAGGCAGGGGCTTGCCTGAGCGCTCACTGCGACTTGGGGCGCAGCCAGAATCAGCATCCAAGAACCTCTGGGCTCATTTGCCCCGACTCCATCGTTTCAAGCTCGGATCTGGGGCTCCCACCAGGAATCCCGAACTCCTCTAGGGCCTCAGTTCCCGGGGACGCCAGCCCCCTTGTTATTACCATGGTAATAAGAGGGTGGGTGTTCCCCCAAATTTTCCCCTAATGTGACGGGTGCCCAACACCTCTCCAAGGCGCTCCCCAGGCTAGACCCTCCAGAGTCTTGTCTCTTTGGCCACGCCCCCGCCCCCACACTCTGGCTTGGAGGAGGTGTGGCCTGCAGGGCCCCACCCCCCACCAGGTGCAGGGGCGCCTTCCTCTGCGGTCACGTGACAGGGATGCCCCAGCACACCTGCCAACACGCGCGCGAGGCCGCGCTCCCGCCGGCGCGCGCTCTCCGGAGCCGCTCCTCGCGCGTGCGTGGTGCCCACGGCCGCAGCTCCCGTCTCCCCGGCCCGCCGGCCCACCCCGCGCACTGAGCCCCACTCCCTGCCGCTCAGCAGGGAGCCCGCAGCCGAGTGAGGCCGCGCTCGGCCGGCTCGCGCCACCGCGGCGGCCCCGCCCCTCCCGTCCGGCCAATGGCAGGGGGCGGGGTCACGTGCGCGGCGCGCGGCACGCCGGGACGGACGGGCGCGCGGTGGGCTCCGGGCGGCGCGGGAGAGGGGCGCACGTGCCGAGTCCGCTGCTCCAGGGCGCGCGCTGGCGGGTGGTGGCGGGGCTGGTGGATGCACCGGGTTTGGAGCGCGGGGCTCTTGTTTGAAAGCTGTGCCTCTCCACGTGTAAGTGAGGCACGGGAGCAGATGATTTTTGGAGATAATCCCAGTTCTTACACTCCACCATTAAAGTAGCCAAAGACTAGTTGGCTACCCAGTTTTTTTGGGACTGGAAACCAGGTTGGTGAAGACAGGACGGATAAACCAATTAACAAGTGCTTGCTACAGTGGTTCAGTGTATTGCTTACTAATTGATATACATGACTGACTTGATCTTCCACCAGCCAGGAGAGGTAGGCAACGATTCTGTTGCCAACGTTCTGTAGCCACTGGCTAAATAGAGTTTAAGGGTGATTTGCTTAAGATCACACAGTTAAGTGGCACCTGGCATTAAAACCTCCCTTTTTCACTCAATTATGAGCTCTTTCCAAAACACTTTTTATTCATTCATGAATCGTGTTTTGTGTGCTTGGTAATATTGTAAACAAAGCGGCCTATGATAGGCCAATATAGACAAACAAATCCAGCAACAGCGTGGCTGAAACAGAGGGGACACTGAGAATGGCAGGATGATCCTGAACTGCCATTCAAGTGAACTGGATGACCCATGTTGGCTTCGCAGAGGTGGAACGTGGACCCTGCATGGGACTCACATGGGCAGAATAGATGCATTTACCAGGGAAGTACAGGAAGCTTCAGGGGCATTAAGCAGTCCAGTGAGGTGGTGCTGAGTGTTCGCATGGGAAGGCAGCCATACCTAGTGTGGAAAGAACTCTGCAGTCTCCCAAAAGCTTTGCTTGGCTGGAGCTTGTCATTAAAAATTGCCACTGGGATCTCTCTTCGAAAAATCTTCCCTGAGCTCTGAGTACCCACTAAGTAATGCCATTTATCTGTTTTCTTCATAGCCTGTATCAGCATCAGAGGAGAGCTCCATCAGAGCTGAAATGATCTTATTCACTGGTGACCTCAGTGCTTTCTCAGTATCTGGCACACAGGAGGCCCTCGATAAGCAGTGGTTTAATAAACACTGAAACTAGGCCAGGTCAGGCAGAATACCTAACCCAAAATAAAGCTGGGAAGTCTACTTCTTTGTGGTTGTGAAGACTATGAGAATGGGTGCTGGCAGATAATTACCTAAAATAGTTGGTCTTACTTGGTGAGTAGCAGGAAATTAGAGAGGACTGATGAGGTTTGGCAGGGCCTTGAGACGGCTGAGCCTGGATTGTAGGCACGATGCTAGCCAAGGTTTCTGGCTGCAGGATTGCTTTCAGCATTCAACCTGGTGGCCCCAAGCGGGAAAGATAAAAGTGGGGGATAGATCAAAGAAATGAAGTATGTGGAATCTGATGTGACACTTTCTTAGAATGAGCCTAAAACTAACTTCCACCTCGCTACTTGCTCCAGCTAACCCCGCTGCATTGCCTCGTGGGTCTACAAGAGGCAGCCTGGTGAGCACCGATCCAACCCTGAAACCCCCTGGCACTTGTCACACCATTTTAACATGTACTTTTTAATATTCCACCTACACTGAGAACTCCTCGAGCTGCACATTTTATGCTCTATCTTCCTAGTAACTCTTAACAAAATCCAAAAACTTTTGCTTGCTTTCTGAGGCTCAGTTATTTTGATTAAAATACTAACTTTAGGGATGTTATTCAGAAGCTGAGCCTGCTTCCTCATCTGTACAATGGTATCACTTCCACGTTACAGCTCTGTGTCAGGCTCAGGTATTCATAGAAAGCCTAGTGTAACACTTGGCAGGGCAATTACTTCAGTGTCAAGAACAGAACACTATCCACTTATAAAAAGTTTACATATCCTAAACATTTGTAGCTGATTTATGACACATTGCTTTGATGGTGCCAGTCTGAGATTCTGTCACCAGCCCAAGCCAAGCCTGAAATCAATTTACAAACCATTATCATCACCACCCAGTGGAACATCCATCAGAATCTTCTGAGGCATTCTCCTTCACAAGCAAGTAACCCCACCTCAACCTTCAGAGACTGCCCCGTGTCTCCTTTTACTAGTGATTTGTGGCTCTAAGGGCAGCAGCTGGGTCTGGCACAGAGCCAGCAGGCACTCATGCTTGTGGAAACGGACTTCTTATGGGGAGCTCACAATTGACAACTCTCTGAGAAAGGATAATTTCAAGGGGTTCCAAGAACAAAAAAATCTAGTCACTCACTCTCTTATAGGGATGTAAAACTAATAATGCTCAAGAACAAATGATGGAACCCAGATTATGAACTCCAGCTAGAAACCGCTGTATCCTACCTTCCCTCTCCCAAGGGCTACTTGGAGAAGGAAAAAGGTCCGTCAGTCATAATATAGGCATGTGATGAAGGTAAGAGACGAAACAGAACTATACTTTATTCCATCTGCCAAACTTCAGAGAGTAAGAATCAGACAAACATTCCACTGGGCAGCCAAGGCCCTGGTAGGCTCGGTGGGATTACAAACTCCGGCTCCCTCAACGTCTGGTTTAAGCTTCTTCCTCTGAAAGATACAAAATGTTAGAGAGATGAGCCATGTTGAACCGGTGAACTGCTTATGATTTTCCACACCTCCGCTCAGAGGTGAAGCCTCTCAGAGCCTCACAGGCTGACAGAGAGTTCCTTCAGTCACCAGCTGCTGAAGCACAAAAGAGCTTTAAGCCCACGTAACTAACCTGGAACATCTTTTCTCCTTCAAATCACTGGCTGACATCAGGGACTTCCATGGCCTTTCTCTACATGCTTCTTCCTCACCCTAGCCTCTACAGACCACTCTCCTCCCCAACCCCTTCATGTGATCTAAAGGCTCTTGAAGCAGCTTTTGGAGCCAGAGAGAATGCTACTCCCGAGTCAAGTCTCAGGGAACTCGCAAAAAGTTCCTCCTCAACCGTGGCTCCAGACCTTGGTCCCCAGCCCGCCTGCAGCTCACGCTCGACTTCAGAAAGGGCTGGTTACCAACCTTCCTCTTCCTCCTCCTCCTCCTCCTCGTCCTCCTCGTCCTCGTCGGAGCTGAAAGTGCCGTCAGGCAGGCTGTAGACGCGGATGACCTGCTTGTTGGGGTCCTTGAGGATGAGGTACTTGCCCTCCTCCAGCTTCATGCAGATGTCGATGACGCAGCGCAGGATGCCCCAGGCATTCTCCACGCTCAGGTTGATCTGGCTGGCAAACTCATTGGGCTTGAACTGCTGGGTGCCCAGGATGACGTGGCGTGAGGAGTCTTTCACATGGTACCGGGACACGTAACTAGTGGGGGGAAAGGGGTATTAGTGGTGGGGGCAGGCCAGCACAGAGATGCAACACGTGGGGTCGAATGTCAGTTAATGGTGACACCTGGTCTGATGCTTTTCCCAAGGGAAAAGGAAGAAGGCAAGCCCTCGTCTCCCTACCCGCAGACCCCTCCTTCCAGAAGATGAGTTCACAACCCTAGACAGGAGTCTCACCCAAGCTTGAGGTACTCTGATCCGGCCAGCAAAGCACAGCAGGTCCATCGGGCCAACTTGTAGCTGTTGTTCTTCAGCTCGGTGGCAATGACAGCCCCTCGCTGAGAGTCCAGCTTCTGACGCCAGTCAACACCATTACAGTGCTGCAGAAAGCAAGCCCTGGTCATAGGAGCAGAGGCGGGCTCCTACTGTCCCAGGTCTGGTACCTCCCCTGGCCGAGAAGGAACTCCCAAGTGGGTGTGACTAGGAAGTGGGCGAGTCCGCAGTAAACCAGAGGTAAGACTGTTATCATTTAAGAGGCAAACACTCGATCCCTCCCTTGCACAGCCTGCGACACAGCAGGCACTCAACAAACTGTAATTCCTCTCTTCGTAACAGCTTATCTAGACAAGGACACACGCACACAAGTTAAAAACAAGTGCCACACAAATGGCAGAGGCAAGTGTTTACTATGTGTTGTGTGATAAGGAAGGATTTCACAAAGGAAGGGCAATAGCTAACCAGACAGAGAACAGTGGCAGAGGCTGGAGGTGGACTGATCTGAGAGGCACGGAGGAAAAGACAGGCTGGGTTAGTCGTGGGGAGGGGGCGGGGTGGAAGCCTGCAGAGGGTGAGGTCAGAGTTGGCCCTTGTATATGTACATATACATACAGACAAAGCAGAAAGAGACCCCAGAGATCATCTTCTCTGACCACCTCTTTTATAGATGTGGGATCTTGGACTAGTGAAGTGACTAGCTGAAGGTCACATGGCAGAGATTCCCAAACTTTCTTGGTTCATGGCGACCCTAGGCCAAAAGAAATACCAAAGAGTTCCTTTTATTAAGTAGTTTGGTCCAAAGCACTTAGGAATAGTATTCTGACAGACACTTCTGTGTTTCCTTCAAAAGATAAAAACATCCTGCAGTACCCTTGTCAGTTTGCTGTGGCATTTTAAAAGCCT